AATTAGTAAATAAGAATTGTCATTTTGTCACGTTGCGTAAACCTTTTTTGCGCTATGTTTCATAAACCTATGACGTCATCGACATTTTTTTTAAATAGCACTACCTAATTTTTTAAGCATAAATGGATATTCCTTTTGAAGGGAAATACGTCGATATAGGGTTTGGCCTACTTTACTTTGACAGGAGCGAAAAAAAGCCAATGACTGGAATGGACATGGTTTAAAATAACAATAAAAGTAGGTATCATAAACTGATGGGAGAACAGTGCCACAATAAAAAATGGAAATTTGGGGATGTTTTGTGTTTTGGTTGACTGTAGGTACGTTTTTATGTGTTGATATGTTGGCGTTTTCGAGGATATGACGAATGGCAGTGTTTTGATTTTCAGTGACAGCTAAACATAACATTTTGCCTAACATTTTCTATCACTGTCGTTGGCCTTCTAGATCTAGACAGATTTCTAACATGGCCAACGTCTTCAAATTTGGGTACTAATCTGCATACTGTAGACGGAGGTATTGGTTGTTCTTGATACTTGGCATTGAATAATTGACATACTTCATCATAACTACGGATCCTATCTCCGTATCCAACCATAATTAGGATTTCAGTTCTTTATTTCTCATTTAAACACAACACCATCGTAATGTAAAGTTATGGTATTTGTAACTGTCACAATGATATGACGCACTATTGCATTCGCTAAATGTCGTCTTCAGAACAATGCCTACATAGCCACTGTGATCGGGTGTACCTACCCAATCTACATAAAAACATGTGCCTACAATCAACCAAAACACATTTTTTGCTATAGCACTGTTCGCGAATAAGTTTGTGATACCTACTTTTGTAATTAATTCAAACCATGTTCATTCCAATCGTTGGCTTTTTTTCGCACCTGTCAAACTAAAGTAGGCTAAACCCTATACCGACGCATTTCTCTTCAAAAGGGCTATCTATTTATGCTTAAAAAATTAGGTAGTGCTATTTAAAAAAAATGTCGATGACGTCATAGGTTTATGAAACATAGCGCAAAAAAGGTTTAACCAACGTGACAAAACGACAATTCCTATTTACTAATTGACGTATTTTAGCGTTTTTGTGAAAACTCAACACAAAATAAAATATGAATTTTTTGCGTTACTTCTGGGACGCACTGTATAATGGTTTGATTAACGAAAGTTTTAATTGTTCTGGAAATATACCATATTTAAAAGAATTATTCATTATATAACAAAGCGGTTCAACTATCTATTTAATACATAATTTGACAATACTCGTTGGGATGTTATCATCACCACTTGTATGCTTATTTTTTAATCTACTAGCCAACTTCATTATCTCTTCAGATGATACAGGTTTAATAAACATTGATAATACATACTAATACACAGTAATGCCTTGTATTCCCCTGCAAATATAAGAAACAAATGAGCATCCATTATTATTCTCTTTTTTCTTATTGGTACCCTACAACTGTTTCATTTCAAATGGTGATCGCAATCTTCATATTTCTACAACAAAATTAGGACTATGTGAAATTACATTTTAGGTCTGCTTAACAACTTTGACAGATAAAAATAAACTGTTAGGTTTTAGAATTCATTAAGATATTATTAAAAAATATCTTCAAAAACTGTCATCAAAAGCCGACATTTTCGTTAAATTTTCAGTTGACAAAATGAGTCCTTTTTGTCACCTAGCCTGCAAATTACTTTTATGTTCTAGAACGCCAAAGTCTTTTTCGTTCTAGAAGGTAAAACATATATCAAAATGATTTGTCGTTTTTTCAAAACTTATTTATGATTTTATTAATTAAACAATATACATTTTAAGTAATATCAATTTCAATTCAGTTCAATATTCAATTTCAAAATATTAATATCAATTTTCAATACAAAACGGTAACTATTATAATTTATTTTGCACTCGTGTAAATTGCAAGTGCCGATATTGCAGCGAGTTAAATTTATGCCAGACCCTCAGTCACATACCATCCCAGTGCTGTCAGTTATGGTAGCTTTTAGTTCTGGGTGTTCAATGAGTCTGTTGCTGTAATTAAGTTTACTGCACACGTTGTGTTATTGGCGAGTTCCATAGACTGTAACAAATTATTTGCGATTTAAATTTTATTTTGTATAGCATCTTCTATATATGTCTCCGCTACCGTACTAGAACGCCACCCCCATATCGTTTAATGGTGGTAATATCGGCCCCTGCGTCGGTTAACAGACTGGCGGAAAAGCGTCTAAATCAATGCCCTGTGTAAGTTTTTGGATGAGACAAAATGAGATAAGTTGCAATTTCTTTTGGCACACACCTTATTTTATTGAATCCAGCCACTTGGTTAACATATTTTTCCCTGACATAATTCACAAAAAATCTTCGGCTTGTAGTAACTGCCGGACGTAAAGCACAGTATTTGCGTTATATCTTCATTTGGTCTGGACTTGAAGTCAGAAAACATCTCCGAATATGAGTTTTGAAATCGGGAATTCGTATAATAATAATTGAATCTATGTCTTCTGTATCATCGATCGATATCTTTAGTAGTTCATCTCTTCTCAAAGTTCCACAAACACCGATTATTAAAATGACCTGAAAAGTTAATTTATATCGATCGATTTATATTAATTTGATTTACTTTTTCTGGCAGAAATCTATTATCAGGTGCTTTAAAAATCTCAATTTCCTCTTCCGTTACAATTCTGGATTTTTTCGGCCGGTATTCAACTGATTCGCTTTTGAAAGTATTTTGAATGAAACTTTTTGTGACTTGTATTTGCCTTAGGAAGTTGGGTGTTGAGTGATGTTAATAAATTGGATTTTGAATAGAACTTTGGAAAAATTGTTTAATATTTGTAATAATTTTAATACTAATTTGGAATATGGATAGGTTATGTATGATTAAAAGTTTTAAAAGTTGGATATTGGAAATATTTCTGATGTTGATATTCTATCTTCATATTTTTTCTTAAAACTTTATTTCTATATAAGGTGTTTGTAAATAAGTGCGAAATATTTTAGGGGATGGTTGCCGAAGTTATTTTGTGAAAAAAAGTTCATATAAACGTAGGTCGAAATATGCTTCCTTTCCGAGATACAGATTGTTTTGTTTTATTTATTTTTATTAATTATTTTAAACAGTTTTAAAGATATAGACTCGAAATTTGACGGCTGTATTTTATTTAGAAATATTGACAGCAACCTACTAGATAATGTACCAATAGAAATTAAAAATACACAACTTGCAATGTTTTATTTTTTTTCCTCAAAAATGATGCATCCTACAAAAAAAATATTCAAAAGACCAAAGTGTGAAAAAGTCAGTGGCCTACCATTTTTTTTATTAAAAAAGGTTGTAGCATTGTCGCACGAACGCCACTGGTGCAAGTAGAAGTATTCGGATCACCCCAAAAAATGGACATTTATCCCTTCAAAGCGTTTTTCAAATTTCGAGTCAAACATTTTTAATACTGAAATAAAAATAAATAAAAAATTAAAATTTAAATATCTTGGAAACGAAACATATTTCGACCTACGTTTTTTCACAAAATTACTTCGGCAACCACCCCCTAAAATATTTCGCACTTATTTACCAACACCCTGTATACACAGGGTGTAACCTCGAGGGGGTTATATTTATACGGGGGCTACCTTATACCTTTAGAAACACTTGTTATTTTTTCAAATTCCAACGTGAAAACTTATTTTTTAAAATTTTTTCTTAGTATTTTTCATATCCTGCCGGGCTATAAACTGGGCTATGCATTGTTGTCAAATTTCTTAATTTAAAGAAAAGGTTATCAAGAGACAAATTTTCACACCACTGCTGTTGGGTCGATCTGCGCCTGTCACTCATTTCTCAATTCTCGATCGCACTATTGACGTCACAAATTAGCGCGTCAGCAAACACCTGTTTAAAACATTTATGTTGGCCGCCAAATTTGAATATTAATTGCAGCGGCACACAGAAAGAAACTGGAATGCGAATATGTAGACTCCGGTAGTGCTACTCATTTTTACGCCAAAAATCGATAAAAGACAGTCTTAGTCAAAGTTTGGTTCATAATTTTTGGTCATTTTAATTAATAACAATAATATAATAACAGGCACACAAAAAAGTCCAAACCCAAAGGTCTGACATATCATTTCCGACGCATTTTGATGAACTGAAAACGATACCGCAGTCAGAATTTATGCACGACCGGCCAGTATCTTATAAAATCAATATTTAGTTGTAAAACATTATTCAGTTCGAATTTCGGACTTCTCTTCGTTTACTAGTAACCACCTTTTTCAGTTGAAGCGTACTGTCGATGATGCTGACGGCTCGCCATCCACAAAGAGATGTCGTAAAGATACATTTCAAGCCTGTTTCAACGTAACCCAAACTAGGAACACCGAAACTAATATAGCAAAAGAACACGGCTTTACTCCATTTAAAAAGCACCGCCAATACACGCCTCTACTAGAAGACTTCATAGAGAACGATAGAAACCAAATCAGACGTATCGTCCACTCCTTCTTCCTGAGACACGAACAACCCACAGTAGAAAAGATCCAAGCTGTCCTGAGCGAAAACGAACACCTACCACCTCTGTCAAACATCATTCTAATGCGTGTACTGAATGAAATCAACTTCCGGTAAGTTACTTTCGTTGAAATACTAAAACCTAATAGGTTTGTTGTAGAATTAAAGGGAAAAGGCAGTGCAAATTCATTAAGGAAAGGGATGAAACAATTATTTGGAGGAGGCGCTACTTGACGCAAATCAAGGCGTACCGTGAAGAGCAGAGACCGATTTACTATTTAGACGAGATGTCTATCTACGTCGTACAAGATTCTAAAGGCAAAAGTTTCACCGTTTTACACATCTGTAGCGAAGATGGATTCTTAGCAGATGGCCTCCTAATGTTCGAATCTAAAGTAGTCGAAGACCAAAACAAAAAGATTAAAATAGCAGCATTTGAAGACTGGTTCCCTAAAATTCTGCCCAAATTAAAAGCCAAAGCAGTCATAGTCTTGCATAATGCGCCGTGTCACAGCCGACCGTTGGAAGAATTCCCAAATGGGACAATGCATAAGGTCGAAATCCAGAAATGGCTGTCGAGTAAAAATATAGCGTTTGAGGAGGATATGGTGAAACTAGAACTGTTAGATTTAGTCAAGAAGGCTAAACCGCTCGAGAAACGATACGTCGTGGACGAAATGGCCAAAGCTAATAACAAAAACGTACTAAGGCTGCCGCCATATCACTACGAATTGAATCCTTTGAAGACGATCTGGCCGCAAATAAAGAGTGAGGTTTCGAATAAAAATTCCAGTTGTCAATTTGAGGAAGTTCGTGAGGTTCTTGTTGACGCTATTGCTCGGGTAAGCGCAGAACAGTGGCAGAAAGCCATCAGCGATGTTCTTGAAGTGGAAAAGGAATTGTGGCAATTGGATATAGATATGGAAGAACAAATGGAGGCGCTCCTCGCCGATTGTAGCGGCACCGAGTCTGAATCGGAATCAGATTAAAATTCACTAGAAATATATATTTAAAAAAAAAGCTAAATAAATAATCGACGCTGTGTAAGTGAGTTTTTTTTACAGTTTTTTTTTTGGATTATCAATTCTATGTAGGTGTAATATTTGTGATTTTGAAGAAATTATAGTTTCAAAAAAAATTGGACTTATGTGGACTGTTAATTTGTGCACTGTGATAAGCTAGAATAAAATAAATAATAAATAAAAGTTTACTCGCTTTCTGAGTAAAATATAATTTTTTTTCGCGAAACGATTAGAAATCAAATGCACTGTGGAATATATTTAAATATATTTAAGTATGTTATATTGTTTATTCAGAAACAAACTTTAACATATTATCTTGAACATCCATTTTGGTGATAAGGGTAAGGATAAAGATAATTGAAAAAATGTGTGGCAAAAAATATATTTTTTAATGCTACAAATTAATTATAAGCGTTTCTCTAGTCTCTTGTTCGAGCCGTCTTGTCCCTGTCGTTCATCTTCACTATTTCCGATAGCACTAAATGATGTCACGAATTAGCGAGTCAGCAAAGACCCGTTTAAAACATTTATTATTTCGTCTGCTAAACTTTAGTTGATCATTAATTATCGACTTCAAAGACATTTCTAATATTTTTACTACATGATTATATAAGGTTATAAATTATTTCTAGGCATTTACGAAGATATGTGCAAGTTGCAAATTACTCGCTTTCTGAAGAAAATAGATTATTTCTTCTTCGCAAAACAGTTAGAAGCCAAATGCACTGTCTGCCGAAGATCTTCAAATATCTTTGTGTAGATACATAGGTAGAGTTGTTTCAAAATCTTATGAGCTTTGACCTTGATATGCGCAGAAACATAATTCCGACCGTCGGCGTCGCCTAAAACAAGCCTTTGATCCGATTACAAATATCATAATAAAATGCCCTATTCTTTATTATTTTAATTTAAGCAAAAAAAATATATATAACGAATGTTCGCCAGTTGACTATTGATGCCCGAACGCCATAGTTCATTTCCGGTTGTAATGAGGCACGTGGTCTAATTCTGAGTCCATGTTTTCACAACGTGCTTATTAGAAGAATTATGCGGATACGCCACGCCTTTCGCGCATTTCGCGGCTCATGAGATTTTGAACTACTCTGCAAAAATAAACCTTTAATACATTATAGATATCTTGAAAATCCAATTTAACAACTACATACATTACTAGTGGCAGTTTTCCATATAAACAGGATGAATTGAGAGAATCGCACCAAACTCCAGGTATGGATTCTATATGTCAAAATAATAAGAAAAAACTCAAATGTTATGCGGTTTTCATTTGTTTTCAAGTTATGACGTACATTTCAATAAAAAAATAATTTGTTGATATTCTATTAATCATAGCGTTCTTTGATTAAATGTTCAAAAACACCACCATTCACCTCTAAACACTTTCTGCCAGGTCTACAAAGGGCGTATGTATCTCTCCCATGCAGTTATTTTTTGGCGTTAAGCGTGGCCACGATAATTGGGACCGAGGGAGACTATCCTTTATCCTGCCTTATTGCTGTAGGCCTAGGCAGCCTCGTGAAGGTGGACCCCATCCATCGTCTACCCCGACCACAAGCATAGCCGGTGTAGGCGCTTTGCGGGACCTCCTCTTGCCCTGGCTGGTCCCCGCCGGCAGAAAACACAAGATTTTAAATAAAAATTGTTATTTTTTTACTGATTTATAAAGTATGCAGTATAGGATTATGTATAGAACAGCATAGCTGGTATATGGCCTTCACGGCTTTACTGTCGAAATTTTCCATTACCGTTTTCATGAATGCGGCTGAATTTTGTTGATACAGCGTTCAATTTCCTCCTTCAAGGCGTGGATGGTCGTGGGCTTGTTGGCATAAACCTTATACTTCAAAAAAACCAAAAGTCCAACGGTGTTAAATCGCATGTTCTGGATGGCCAATTCTGATCACCAAAACGGGAAATTTCACGACCACGAAATGACTCATGCAGAAATTGAATTGTTTCTCAGGCTGCATGGCATGTGGCATCGTCTTGTCCAAACCGCATGTCGTCTACATCCATATCTTGGAATTTAGGCATAAAAATCTGAATTATCATGTCGCGATAGCGAGCACTATTAACTGTTATTGTCTGGTCAGACAATAACCGTAATTTTGAAGAATGGTCCGATGATACATCCAGTCCAGAATCCGCACCAAACAGTGACATGTTGTAGATGCATTTGTTTTTTCAACAATCACTCGTGAATGAACGCCATCGATTGTCACATCAACGAAACCATCAAGATGAAAATGAGCCTCATCGCTAAAAATTATTTTGTTCGAAAAATCAGCATTCACTTATTCCATAATCCATTCAACGAACTCTCTTCGCTCTACGTAGTCAGTAGGCTTCAGTTCTCGAGTCAACTGAACTTTATAAGCATGAAGATGCAAATCTTTCATGAGAATCCGCTGTAGAGAGCTCCTCAAAATGTTCAATTTTTGACCACGGTGCTGAATTGATGTTCTTGGACTCTAAACAACACTCACAAACTGCTTCGTTGTTTTGTGTTGAACGACTTGTTGAAGGTCGGCCAGAGTATGTAAGATCACTAATTAATTCAGTTTCCCTGAAATTTTCAATTAATCTCTTTACAGTTGATGAAGTTAAATCACTATTCCGACCATATTTTGTACGAAAATTGCGAATTTAGCTGCCAGACCTACATTATTTTTAATATATCGCACAACAATGAAAACGTATTGTTCTTTCGTGTAGCGCTCCATTTTTAATAACCCTGAACTGTCAGTTGTCACGCTGATATTTTTTTTTTCGTTGGTAACACTTTACCGCACAGATGGCGCAACATTCAAATCTTGCATCAATTTTGAGATACTTGATATTAAATTTGACAACACCAAAATTAAATTAAATTTCAACATTATCCCACAAAGGTTTTATTAGCTTTGTTCCTAGTAGAATCCAAAACAGTTTCCAACAGTCAGACGCATGCGCATATGGATATAATGCTTTCATAAGGTTTAAAATTCATTGTTTTGAATTAAATGCGTCGGACTGTTGGAAACTAATTCTAATGCACTTGGAACAAAGCTATTGTCATTCTCTTATCTGATATTTTTTACAATCTTTTTTATTACAAAAATTTCACATCATGAGACCTGCTGCTTTCCGAGACAAGCTTTCAATTGTACATATGAAACATTAACACATATTTCTAGAAAAAATATATAAGTAAACAATTTAATTTTTTATCTCAATATTTTTATTAGAATGTTTAACTATTCCGGCACCTATAAAATAACTAATGTTTATTCAATTTCGTTTTGTCTTTGCGAAATGCATAAGTAATAAAAATCAGCCAGTTACTTTTTAAGATAACCGTATTTAATTTTTTATAGATAGCATCAGGATCCTGTGTCTTCAAGGCCCCAGTCCAAATAAAACGTAGCCAACAGGAGGCACAACAACGTGCTTTGAAAAAAGCAAAACTAACTAAAGACCAGCGTTCATCCGTAACCATTAACAAACGTAGTATAGGAGTGCAAGTATGTCCGAAAGATTTAATACAGACATGCAGTATCGGAATTCAGGTCGACATTATTTGTTGTCCTCCTGCCATGGCAGATTCAGATGTGGAAACTGTTACTTCTAGTACTGCATCCAGAAAAAAGAAATTCAAACCTCGGATATTGAGAAAAACCGCTAAAGGAAATTAGTGGAAATAAATACTTGGAGTAAAAAAAACTTTGTCGAAAAATCTGTCGGATGCCTATGTGTTATTTCATTAAAACTGGTTTTAATTTAATTTTGTAATAAACGATGTGCAAACTTTTGAAAGCAATTTATTGAACGGTGATATTCCAAGAAACAATGAATTCTATATATCAGGTAAACAGGGTATTTTTAAAGTTTCAGCTTTCCTTTTAAGACGATATAGAACTTAAACAAGTAAAAACAACAAAAGAGAACAAAAATGAAAAACACGTTCGAAGTTATCACCATTGCTTTCAGGGACGAGATATTTTGATATGTACAAAGTTAAGTTTCACATAAAATAATCCATACTTAGTATGAGATGTCTCAACTTGCTATGGAAAGTGCAGCCTATAATTGTGATGTGTGGCCGCATATTGGTGATTCCCCCTGAATAGTAGTATTATTAGCGATTAATTCAAAAAAAGCCGTTTAAAGTCAATCCAGGCTGTAGAGTACACCACAGTACAGGGATAATAAAAGATGGAATTATACTCGGTACGCACTCAATGTGTCAATGGAAATCGCCATGAGTTTGTGTCAGGGGCATACAAAAAAAAGATACCTATATGCGATAGGAATTTGTATCACTCTTCGTTACATTATCTTTTATAGGAATTTTACTAATAATACCTAAAGTTCTATNTTTTTTTTTGTAAATTCGTCAAAAAATTCAAGCTTTAAGAAAATATTGCCAAACAATAACGATCGCGTTTACAACGGGAGCTATTCCATTTATTAATTAAGCCATTTATAGCAATTAGTTTGGAGCGATATTTAAACAATTTAAATTGAAAAAATGATCAGGTAAACGGGTCTGTATGAAACTAGAGAACACTTCACGAAAAGAACGAGCCCTTGCTGAATGCTGCGCGACACCCCCAATCGATAGAAATTATTTTAAAAAAAAGTCCCATTTTTAATAACAATTGCTATTGCATAAAAAGTTTTCAATATTTTTCTTCCAAATTTGAAACGTAATTTTATCCCTTCGAAACGCTTAGTTTAGGCAATGGTAGAAATTGATATTTTGCAAATTGTTAAAGCTATTAAATAATTAACAAATGGCTTATTTTAGTGGTTTTTTTGCAATAACTCAATAACTATTTATTCGATTTTGACGTGCGACCATTCAAATTAAAGGGCTTTTTAGCGCCGATATCTTATAGAAATTACATTGTTTTAAATGCAGAAGTTCTGTATTAAAAATTAATAAAACCTGATTTTCACCTGTTTTTTGCTTATAAAAAATTAACGCTGACTTATTTTTTGCGGCACGAACCATAATCTGATTCACCAACACGATCCACACCTTTTTATCATGGAATATTCTTACCGTCAGTTTTTGCGGGTGATCCTACTGTAATGCCTGTACTATCATTAGTTTTCAATAAAATTCTTTATTATTATTACCGTTGAG